TCATGATTGGCTGTTCAAACCCAGCAAGAGGAGTGCTGTGTTTATGTTCAGGACAAGAAGTGGCATGGATAGCAGGCTATGGTTGGAGGAGAAGACTCTGGGGGCACACAAGGATGCACACAGAATTGGCTTCTCTCTGCTCTTATGTGCCTGTAACAATCCTGACTGAACAATCATCACACCACCCCTTCAATCCTCTTGTTCTTTTTTTTATAGTTCTTGTCCTTTTGGCTCTTCTTTTATTTACTTGGCTGGCTTTGAAGAAGTGAAAATTACCTCCTCCTCCTTCTTGGCGTTCTCTTTTTTGTTTTAATACGTATTTTTTAAATATATTGTTGATGATATAGCTTTTGTGGTTGTCCTATGCTGTTCAGTTCAAATTTAAAGAATCGATAGGTTAGTTGAGGATCATGGGATTCATGGCCCTGCGCACTTGCTACATTAGGCTGCAAGACTTCTCGCTTTTACATTGCTTATGTGATATAGGTTCAAACCACACACCTTACGCCAATACACTCTCTCTCTCCATACTATACCACTCTGTTTCATTTTAACTTCTGGGCCTTCTCTCGTAATGTACTCTCTCTCTCCGCGCGCGCGCGCGCCCACACAAACACATGATACCTTTCTGGTTTGACTCCTGGGCCTTTTCTTGTGCTGTTGTGAAATCCACGAACTTCATTTACAATTGCTGCAATGTTCTCTGCTCGGCAGCTCTGTTAATTCATTCAGTTTCGGAACATATATGTCGCTGTAGCTGCGTTACTTTAGAAGTTTGTCCTCTCAGTTTAATCTGCCCACTTCTTTCCCAAAATCAAATCGTCTGAACTTAAAAGTCATATGGAACTCCAACCAGTATAGTCGAGCCAACTAAAGTCACCAAAACCCCGAAATTTTTTAGCCCAACCACCTATTTATGATTCCGACTCAAAACTACAAGTTAAATAATTACAGCTCTCTTTTATCCCTTTTTTTTTTTTTTTTACACCATGCACAGCTCTCTTTTATCCGAGCTAAGCTCAGATGATCTTTTTCTTTTTACTTCCGGTGGTTAGATTTCGCAAAGTTTTGCTCTTAACTTGAAGTCAATTTTACAAAAATTCGAACCCACCAAAATGTCCATGTTCCTGCCGACTCGTAAAAGGATGTCTTTTGATGTTGGCCATTGGCCACCCTTCTGGTCTCCCCACCCCACAAACAAATTTTTGGCTTAGTAATCTAGGGAGTCAATGCAACATTACTTAATCAAAGTAATGTTTTTTTCTTTTTTTCACGCATAAGTATTTCCCTGCTAAGCAGTCCTTTTTCGTCAAACTCAATCCTAATTGGTTTGTTGCTTATTAATTAGTCATTAGAGTAATTTCTTACAATTGGACCTCTTCCTGGGCTTTTAAGTGGAGCCCAATCCTACATCAGCAAGGGGTGACCCAGTTGACTTTGCCCTTTTTCTAAATGGCTGTACCCAAAACTAAAAGTCCATTAAAAACTAATAAGATCCTTTCCCATTTAATTCTTTATAAAAAATTTCTCACTTTTTATCAGGCATATAATTTTCCCTTTCATTGGGCTGGCTCATCATCCCTGCCAAAACAAAATTCACGAACAATATATTATTTTTAAAATATTGTTCGTAATTGGAAAAAACACAATAACTCTACAATATCGTTTACTTTAAATTAACCATTAATATAAAGTATAAAAGTTGGAAAAAAATATTAAAAATATTAAAAAAAACCAACTCAAAATTCTGGCAAAAACCAAAAAAAAAAAAGGAAGAAGAAGAAGAAGAAGAAGGAACCAACTCAAAATAGCGTTGAGGTTGAATGACAAGGGTAATCCTGCTAGGTTCTTCTAAAGAATTATATGATAGGCGCAATTTGAAAAATAATTTTACTAAACTATTGTAAGAATATAAAAACTAAAAACAATCAGTTTTCACCCAGCTCATCGTTCGGTTGGGAGACATAAAAGGAGTGGGCTCAACCAAGACAGGGGATTAGATTCGGGCATGTTCTGGGCTCTACCAGGAGGATGGAAGTTTTTTTCTTTTTGCCAGAAGAAGAATTCTTTCATTCAAAGTAAACAAGATTACAATCACCAATCAAAAAGAAACCAGCCAACAAGGACACCAAACTTCAATCCCAAAACTGCAAATAAAATCACTAAAATACTAGAAGACGAGAAAACACACCAAAATAAATTCACACATCTCCTTAAGAATAAGACTGTATGGTTCTGCCCTGTAATCCATGATAAAGGGGCAAATGGGTGGTTGTCCTGTGACTTGTTCAAAATTGAGCCCAACCTTCTATGAACCAATGCTGCATATTCATTAGCAGCTTTAAGAGTCCCTCTCAAATGGAGAGGGAAAGAAGAACATTGAAAGTTATAGACAACCTTCAGGTTAACATGGACTTTACTAGGGCTATAACAACACATTCTTATCCATAAGGAGAGGTTTATTACAAAAGCCAAAACATAAATCCTGTTGATTAGCAATTGTTGCAAAAGTATCAAGATAGCAGAGGAATCCTCTCCTCCTGATAGAACTAGGGGTGTTCATCAAGCCCGCTAGCCCGGTATGCCCGTCCGAGCCCGCAAGAAAATGGCCTGCCCAGCCCGGAAAAAAAATAACCCAAAGAAAAATGGGCATTTTTGGGCTGGGCATATTATGGGCAGGGCAGGGCTGCGGGCATGGTATGCTGCCCTGCCCATTTGGCCCTGCCCGTGATATATATTTATAATTCTTTTTTTTGCCAAAAATACTTATAATAATATATACTCCTCCGGTCCTAAATGTAAGACCCTTATACACTCTTGTATAAGGGTCTTACATTTAGGACCGGAGGAGTAATATATAATAATATATATTATTCTCCCCTCTTTTATTTGCCATAAATACATTTAGTGGTATGCGTAATTCTTCCTTCTTAGTATCTTTTTAATTTGGTTTAGTATCTTTTAGTTTGTTTTTATTGTTGGTTGTCTTACAAAGATGCAAAAGCAAGCTCACTTTAGTGTTATATTAAAAGATATATCAATTTAAGACAAAGCAAAGTTATTGATTTGTTGAATTTATTGTTTATTCAAGTATTTATTTCTTTATAATTGTTATAAGATACCTTTACTTTAACTAAAAAAATTTTCACCAAGGTATCACTATTTGGGCTTGGAAGCCCGCCCTGCCCAGCCCGTTATTACCCAGCCCGAAAATGGTTAGGGCTTCTATGGGCAGGGCAGGGCAGCGGGCCGCAAAATACAGCCTGCTCATTTTTCGGGCTGGGCATCGGGTAGGGGGCATGCCCTGCCCAGCCCTGCCCATGAACACCCCTAGATAGAACCCATCTTAAATCCTCTTTCATCCTCTGGACAGTCATTGTGTAGGTTTCAAACAGCCTTCCATCCCAAATAAAGCAAGCCAATATTAAAATTGCAGCAAGTTCAAGCTCAAGAAATCCACCATCAAAGTCAAAACCAGAGACTCTATTATACCACCTATAATCCGCCACTTCAATGCAATAAAACCAGCACAAATATTCGATCAATCTCGCAAAAATAATCTCCAAGAAATCATACCATGTTGACTCTAAGGATTGGTTAAACATAGCATAACTCCGTATCTGATTGCTCATATCCTCCTCCAAAGTCCACTGCCCTTGGTGACTGGCATTTGTGAAATCCAAAAATTGAAAATCGAACATAGGACCAAGGTTCAGCAACCATACGGTCAGGGAGTTTTCCTTTAGGATCCATTCTGATTGCTCATCTACTACAGGACCAAGAGGATGGAGGTTGGTTTCAAGAAAAAATTATGAAATTACCTTGCATTTAGTTGAAAATAATACTAGTATAATTTTTCATATAATTCACACTCAATTTATTTTAATATAATTTTCGTTTTACGTGGTTTTTCAGGAAGATTAAAATAATTATTAAATAATTTTTATTATAATAAACTAAAAAATCCGATGATATTTCACTAAAAATACTCCTGTCTTGAACACAATCTTTGAGATTGATAAACGGTAAAGTAGTAAAGCGAAAATAATTAATGCTTTCACGAAATTATAAAAGCCACAGATACTTTCAAAATTCGCAGAAATTTCAAAGTGAGATATTTTAAACGGATGAAGGATGACGCGTCTATGGATACTCCATGGGAGAAGCATAATACCATCAAACAAATAGAAATATAAAAGTTTTATTTTTGAGGTTAATTATGAACATCCACGTGACATTCCTCCCGTTTAATTTAACAGCAAAAAGAGGATTTGACTTGGAACTGAGTTCACAGTTTAACGTAAAATGGAACGAAAAACCCAAACCTGGAAACCTAACCCACCGGAATAGCTATCCACGTTCCTCTCATCTCCCGTTTTATTTTACCACGTCCATCCACACCTTCCTCTCTCTTTTTGCATCTCTTTTCCTGAAATTAGAATCCCTCTTCCTAATTATGACGTCTACTTCCCTTTTTTTTCCTTAATATATCATATTTTGCTCTTTGACCCTTTCCAACGGCGTGCATCTGCGCCCCATGTTTTCATCATCCACCGTCATTCCTTATTTTTATTCATGCATTTTAAATTAATGACATCATCAATCGTTAAATTTTATATCCATAATCAATACGCCGTTAAGCTTTTTTTTTTTTTGCTTGATGCAACCGTTAAACTTATATTACTAGTCTATTTCTAATCGACATGGATTTTAATTTAATTGTTTTTTGAATAATGAAGCCCAATGCGGCAAAACAAGAGGTGTAAAAAAGGACTAAAATACATGAGGAATTGACATCGAACGTAACCACTCGCTTTCCCCGCGCGCCCCTTGCCTCGCCAACATAAATTAAATCCCTCTGCCTGCTGCTGCACGTCATTCCAACCGCTTCTCCCTCAAATTTCTCCCCTCTTACAGAACAAGTCGTTTTCTCCACTCCGTGATCTCTCTTCACAATCCGCCATGTCTTGCTTCAAGAGCAAATACCAGGGTATGAGATTAATACGATTCCTTCATTTCATGTCTTCCTTTCATTGTTATAGGATCGATGCCTTTGTCATGTTGTTTACATCTTTCTGTACCTGTCCTGCATCGCGTTCTAATCTGCAGACTGCTTGTGCAAATTGCAGATGAGCTCATCGCAAATGCGGCTTACATTGGCACCCCAGGAAAGGGGATTCTGGCTGCCGATGAGTCCACCGGCACAATTGGGAAGCGTTTGGCCAGCATCAATGTTGAGAATGTCGAATCCAACAGGCGCGCTCTTCGTGAACTCCTCTTCACCGCCCCTGGTGTACTCGAGTGCCTCAGCGGTGTCATCTTGTTCGAGGAAACCCTCTACCAAAAGACAGCCTCAGGTATGTGCTTGCCGTATCTTTATATATGTTATTGGGGGTTTGGGAGATCCTCTTGGTAAACATTCTTAATTGATTCGTGCAGGAAAACCTTTCGTCGATGTGCTGAAGGAAGGAGGCGTCCTTCCTGGCATCAAGGTGGACAAAGGCACTGTTGAACTTGCAGGTACTAATGGTGAAACAACCACTCAGGGTCTGGATGACATGGGTCAGCGCTGCAAAAAGTACTACGAAGCCGGTGCTCGCTTTGCCAAATGGCGCGCCGTCCTCAAAATTGGCCCCAACGAGCCCTCTCCGCTGGCCATCCATGAAAATGCCTATGGCTTGGCACGCTATGCGGTCATATGCCAGGAGAACGGTCTGGTCCCCATTGTAGAGCCCGAGATCCTTGTGGATGGACCCCATGACATCCACAAGTGTGCTGATGTCACCGAGCGCGTCCTCGCTGCTTGCTACAAGGCCTTGAATGATCATCATGTGCTGCTCGAAGGCACCCTGTTGAAGCCAAACATGGTGACCCCCGGATCGGATTCCCCAAGGGTTGCCCCTGAGGTGATTGCTGAGCACACTGTTAGAGCTTTGCTGCGAACTGTTCCTGCTGCCGTCCCCGCCGTGGTTTTCTTGTCCGGCGGGCAGAGTGAGGAGGAGGCCACCGTCAACCTCAATGCCATGAACAAGCTCAAGGGGAAGAAGCCGTGGTCTCTGTCGTTCTCTTACGGAAGGGCGCTTCAGCAGAGCACTATCAAGGCATGGGCTGGCAAAGAGGAGAACGTTTCCAAGGCCCAGGCTGCTTTGTTGGTGAGGTGTAAGGCTAACTCAGAAGCAACTCTGGGAACTTACAAAGGTGATGCCACACTCGGTGAGGGTGCCTCAGAGTCGCTCCATGTCAAGGATTACAAATATTAAGCGGTGTGAGGTTATGATTTGCACTTGTTTTTGGAGTAATTATTTCTTTCGGCATCAGGGCTTCGATGTCGTGTAGGATGATTTAAAACAAAATGATAATAATCTGAGAATAATAGCTTCAGCTGTATCGACTTCGATATCTTACCCTTTTTCAGTTTCCTTTTGGATCTCCCTTTGATTAGAGAGTGATGCTGCTATATTTTGTACAACTGAAATCTGAATCAGATGGACTCATGTCGTTGAATGCAGATTATTGAACTTAATTGGCTCTTTTAGCTTACGCCCTCAATACCATCATATTCCATTTCCATAAATTTTTGAGCAGGGCAAAGAGGCCCATGATCAAATTTCTCAGAAATCATAAGGAAAATTTAGTAGAAGATCATTTTTGGGAGGAAAAAAAAAAAAAGGCACCGATGTTTTAACTCGAGCAGAACTTGTACAATTATGATTATCTGCTTTTTATTTGTTCTCTGTCAGGCTTCACTGGGCAAAATACTACTCTTAATTCTATCGACGTGACCTCGTGGGGGATTGAACTGTCTAACTAAATCCGAGCCGTGTCATATGCTACTCAATCTCCCAGGTCTTTCGCGTATTATATGTCATGATTTCCATCATTTTGTAATTAGAAATTACATTCCAACTCTATTTCTCTATTTAAATTAAATTATACTGTTGTACAAAGGCTAGTAAGTAAGTCAGTTTAAGCCATACTAATTCTAGCATAGATTGCGTAGTGTCCAGATAAAAAACTAACAAGCTTTTACAACTTCGACCGGTGATTTGAAAAGTTTTGACACAAACCTCAAATCCTGTTGTAGGAAAGTTCTTTTAGCCCCCTGCGGTCAGGGCCCCTTGACTATCCTAAAAACTTGATCCACAACAGTTTTTGGGCCGAATTTACTGTTTTCTCCACTTGCGTCAATTTTAATCATATACCCAAGGGGGCCCCATTATTTTCATAAGAGGGCGGAATGAGAAATAAATCAAAATGTGACACCAACCCAATGGAGGTTATGTGCTCATCCTTTTCATTCAATACTCATGATATCTTTTATTATTATCTATCTTCAGAATATTTCCAGAAGGCTAAGAGATACTGCCCCGATGGGAGATGGGTATTAATGGGCCACATTTTGGGCAGCCAATGGCAAAATCTCATCCCATGTACCATTTGATGTGAGCGGCTCTGCTTCACTGACCGGCAGAATCCAGAAAATTTGAACCTGATTGGTGAATGCGATAAGAACTGACGATTACCTTTTTACGACCAACATATATATAATATAGAGAGGGTTGGAAGAGAGTGAATTCCTCCATCTGGCATCAGGGTAAGTGAGAAATTATTGGTATTATGGTACAGTTTCTTTTATATTTAAGGGTAGAAAGTGGTTCAGTAAGAAGTCACGTCAGCAAGATCGGGGGGGAAAGCGCGTTCTCCTCTAGAATTTCACTTTTATCTATTCCTGTCATGAGGCCCTTCCATTATAGTAGTAAAAGTAATTTGGTATGGTTTGACCGCTAATTTTACTTAACTCCCCTGTCGGCGTCGGGACAAGCAAGCTGGGCGAAGAAGAAGAACAAAAAAGCTGAATCCACACAAACAAAGCTGTGCTGATATTGACTGCCATGTCTCCCCAAACACACTGTGATGGACACTTTTTGCAGGAAACTTCTTTACTCTTTCCTAAGTACGGACACTGCTCGTCCACCGCCCTCTATCACTTACTTGTGTAAGCAGAACAGTACGTTACTTGAGGTACCACCACCAGCCTTATTACGCAACGCAACCCCAAGATGAGACTTCACACGAACCCCCTCTGATCTCCATCCTCTTATTACGCTTCATCACTCTCTCTCTCTCAATCATTCATTCCTCATTACTCTCTCATGCCCACCAAGTGGACTACTTTCGACATTCATTAATACTCTCGTTTGCGGGCATCGCCTTTTCATTTGAGGCCTATACGGATAGGGTTTCGACTTTGAGAGATGTTTTCCTTTTAGAAGAAAAATCACCTTCTTTCATTACTTGGTTAGAGAAATTAAACTCTGATCTCTCCCAAGACTAATGTAGAACCGTAAGAGTTAAAAGAGTTTGAGACATCTTTCTGTAATGAGCTGCCTCATGGGATCGTGATTAATGTTGTTCGTGTGTCCTTTTTTTTTTTTCCCTTTACATCAAAATTAAATAAACGTAGTCGTTTGTCAAACTACTTATGTTTCATATATACACATGCGCGCGCATATATGTACGATATAGCCAGAAGCTAAGCAATCCTCAACAAAAGTCCGCGAAAGACGTGAGGCAGGAATGCGGCATGGACCAAAATTTTTGGTGGGGTGATGTAGGTCAATGGTCAGCAAGAGGACCACAATAAGTTAATGACTCATCAGTATACTGCATCACCGAAGAATTCTCCTTCTGCAAAGTTACCGTACGCTGAATGATATTAAATGATCCTGATTACTGTCAGTTTTTACACACACAAAAATGTACTTCGCTTGATCGATGTTGCTGTTCTGCGCTTAAAATCAATTAATGCACCTATACTACTCCTACTTACTATATCTGTATGTCTTAGAATTTACAAATTAACTTTCTGCTCATCGCAATGGCCAGGGCATTCGCAACATAACTCATCGGGTTCGACTCAATTTGTAATGAAGGGCATTATGAAATGAAATGATTAGGTTTCACGCCTTAGGTTCCGAACGTTCCTGGTTAGACTAAGCACAATTTGAGTGAGAGAGGGAGGGAGGGAGGGAGGCATCCATCTACAGATACATTATGTATGTGCATTTATAAACACTACGTTGCTGCTTACTTGCAAGAAATTATTTGGTAGAATCGTGCTAAAAAAGTCGAGTGCTAAGCTCACATATCCCATGCGGAAACCCTTTTGCAGAAGTATTAACTTCTCCCGTCCCGTACTTTGTTCTTCGAGACGGATTTTTTTTGAAATATAATTTTTTATGGCAGCTGTTCAATTGCACTCGATCATCAACTTTGTACACGATGTACCTGAGTTAAACACAAGCTCAACCCAGGAAAGCAAGGAATCGATACATAAAAACCTCAACTTAGAAAGTCTTATATTTCAGACTCTCTGATATTAAGCTAATATTTTTCCCCTTTTCTTTCCCCCAAAAAAAAAAACTTCTTGATATTTGTTTTATTGGACAAACTATCAAGAATAACAGCCGAAGAAAAGTCTATACTTCATTAATCAGAAATAGGAAGAACTCCATATATATGTGGCACACAATGTATTTTCATAAGAAAAATATCACTTTAGATAATTTGGTTCTTGAATTACAGTCTTCCTATTACCGAGTTAATATATATACAAGGCATAGAAGTGATGCAGAATTACACAGTTCATTTTCATTCAGTACACAGGCACAGGCTGCCGACACGCACAGTTCACTTATCTCAACTTTACACGGAAGGAAGAAAATAGCCTAACTAATATAGACATTATTGATGGTGCAAGTAACACGAAATTAATGCGACTCCATTCGCAAGCCTAAAACAAAACGGTAAATACGGGTTGAAAGAAACTCACCTGAACTGGGGTCACATTTGAACATATTCAAGTGAACTGTGCCACTTCGTCTCCCTCATAAAAACGTACAACGGCTGAACAGCTGAACTCGTTATTTTGTCCTAAATGCCCACAAATATAATGAGCTGGATGGACCGCCTACTCGGCTATTTTTAATCAATCTATATGTAAACCCTCAGTTGGCTCTTGCGGTACCTATCAGGAAAAAAGTGTCAAATTAATCTTCGTGTGGCTGCAAGGACTCAACCATCTTTCACTCACTGGTTTTGATTTCCTTTGTTAATCTTCAAGCCGTAGTTTTCCCACAAATTTTCTGATCCTTCAGTGCTGATAAAGAAGGGAAAACAGTTAACGTCCGCCGCAACCGCATTGGAATTTGAAGGCGACGAGCCATTATTTGTTTGTAGCCTCTCATTGTCGTGCCGTTGATCGTTAACGTCGATATCACAATACGGAGTAGTTCCTTGGTTATACAAGGATGGCTGGTCATTGACGTTGTTGTCGAAGTAAAAACAGCTTCTAGACTTTTCCTTGCGCTTCTTGATTCCTTCCTTGGTATTTGTAAAGCTGTTTATGCTTTCCCACTTGTGTTTGCACATCAAAGCAGTCCTTTCGTAGCCAAAGCAAGCCATTTTGTTGGCTATTTCCTCCCACATAACCTCTTCCGAGCACCCACTTTGCTGAAACCCAGACTCCATCTCCGCCCTCAACTCTAGGAGCCTTGTTGTCTCACTTTTTGGCCAGTTGTCAACACCTCTATTGCTACCGTTGAGGATTTCACTTCCCTCTTCGTTCTGGTTTTCCCTAGGATTCTGAATTTCATTAGCCACAATTAGGGCCTGCTCAACCGGAGATTGAGCTTTTACCTCTCTTCCCGTTAGTTTCTGCAAGGCGTCCATTAGAGCAGCATCCCTTGCTTCAATCCATGCTCTCTCTTTAGCACGAAACTTGTGCTCCATTTCCAACCTCGCTGCCTCTTGTCTTCTCCATTCTTCCTCTCTTGAAATCCTCTCCTTCTCCTTCTGTTCAAGCGTCTTCACTAGCCTATCCATCCACGCCTCTTGCTTCTCAATCAGCTTCTTCATCTGTGAGTCAATGAACTCTTTTATTTTTGCCTTCCATCTGCTTCCACTACTCCTCTTCCTCCCCTTCTCCGTCGAATCATTTTCCATACTGCAAAGATTGTTGTCCTCCGATGATGACGTGCCGAAATCTGTTGAGTTTGTGAGGCTGAGGCTATCACAAGTCTTGTGGTTGTGAGACTGAAACATGTCTTGATTTGTTTGGGAGGGTGTCTGAAAGCGAATTCCGCTGCTGCCATAATTGGTTTCTTGCACTGAGGTCGAGTTGCTGTTTCCTCCATACAAAGCTTCAAGTTGACGGAAGAACCTGTAATGCTTCCCATCCTGTCTCCTTGCCTTACCTTCCTTTGTCTTCTTGTAATATTTGTACAAGTTCTCGAATTTTTCCCTGCATTTCTTCCCACTCCTTTGGTAGCCATATTCTTCCGACATGATCCTGATCATCATCAACAGAAGGAAAAACAAATTGGTAATGGAAGGAAAACACCAATAGCCTAATCGTAGGAAGTTATTAGAACCCTAGTTAGAGGGTTGGGCGAAAAATCCCTACGACGCAGGCCCATGTGACGATGTTCTCAGGGAATTAATTAATTAATTAATAATTATGT